AATTTGATCATAAATGGAAACATTAGAGCTCTTACCCAGTACTAATTAAAAAGAAAAATAGTAATTATTGAGTACCTATTATATGCCCATGATAGGGGGTACTTTGTAGAGGCTTAGGATGTATCAGTGGACCAAATAGGCATCCCACCAGACAGTTTACATTTTTAACTTGAGATGACAAATATAAAATATAAAATAAACATTAAATAACACAAGTTTTAGAAAATGAGAAGTTCTGTGACACAGAGCAAAAGCAGAACCAGGGTAAAGGTGATGCAGGATTAGTTTGTTTTAAAGTTAGAATTTAGTATACAAAATGAGGTAAAAATGACTTATTAAGTAGACAGGCCTACTAACACAATCTGTTCCAGAAGAGAGAAAACAAGGAAAAGAAGCCTAACATTTGTGGGTATGATATTTATGCTGGGCACATAGTATATTTATGTTACTTTGTTTAATCTTTCAAACCGTTCTTTGAGTTATAGTTAATGTTTGGCTGGGTGCAGTGGCTTGTGCCTATAATCCCAGCACTTTGGGAGGTTGAGGTGGACGGATCACCTGAGGTCAGGAGTTCAAGACCAGCCTGGCCAACATGGTGAAACGTTGTCTCTGCTAAAAATACAAAGATTAGCCGCGTGTGGTGGTGGTAGTCCCAGCTACTCGGGAGGCCGAGGCACGAGAGTCTCTTGAATCTGGGAGGCAGGGGTTGCAGTGAGCCAGGATCGTGCCACTGCACTCCAGCCTGGATGACAAGAGCGAGACTCCACCTCAAAAAAATATGTTGTTCTCATTTTCTAGAAGAGATAGATTCAGAAAGGTTAAATGAGTCAGGGTCACATGGAGGAGTTAGAATTTGAATGCAAAACTATGATTCCAGAGCTTTGTGCATATACTAAATTACCTCCCTCAGGAATGAAAACTTGTTGATCTCCTTGGATCACTACTTTTCTCCAGCCTTTCTAGTTTTCCTAACAATCTTTTCCTCTTCTCATGTCATACTTTTCTTCCTGGGTGGTTTCTTTTTTTTTTTTTTTTTCTTTTATTGAGATGGAGTTTCACTCTGTTGCCTAGTCTGGAGTACAGTGGCATGATTTTGACTCACTGCAACCGCTGCCTCCCAGGTTCAAGTGATTCTCCTGCCTCACCCTCCCGAATAGCTGGGATTACACACATGCGACACTATGCCTGACTGATTTTTTTTTTTTTTTTAAGTAGACATGGGGTTTCACCATGTTGGCCAGGCTGGTCTCAAACTCCTGACCTTAAGTGATGCACCCACCTCAGCCTCCCAAAGTGCTGGGATTACAGGTGTGAACCACCATGCCTGACCCTCTTTCTGGGTGATTTCTTTCCTGTCAGTCTTTAAGGACATCTCCCATACATATATAAACTCTTCTATCCCCTTGAGTATACTCTTCTCATTTTCTTATATTACAATTACTACTAATCATCCAGTAGAGTAATTCTTAACCCTGTCTTCTCTTTTCTTCTGTTTGACATAACTCGGATTTCGATAACATCCTTCCTCTTTTCAGCTGGTCAGTGGCGGATCTGTATTTTCCCTTGAATCTACTTCAGCTCTCAGATTCTTTATACGTAGCTTCATCATGCCTATAACTCTTAATTCAGACCTATCGTCTCACATTTGAACTTTTGAAGATAGCCTCCTGACTGGTATTTTTTATTCCATTCTCTGCTTTATTATACACATTGTTGCCCAGAGGTCTCTTTAAAGCAAATCTGATCATTCTACTTTTAGTGACCAGTGGAATAAAGTCCAAATTCATTGACTTTCCATAAATTATTCTTTGTCCTTTGACCCCAGATTATCTTTTGAACCTATTAACAGTCAACTACGTACTATTTTCTAGTCACTCAGAATAGTTTATTTTCCATGTTATTTCATTGCTTCTTTATTTATGCTATTTGCATAGAATTGATGTCTGACTTCATTTAACTTTAGTAAGCACTTAATAGGTCACAGGCAAGGTACTGAAGATAAAAAGTCAGTTAAGACTCCTTTTGGGGAGAGTTGGGGGACAGATTCTGATTTATCCTGTAAGGCTCATCTCTGATGAAACTTCCTTGATCGAATGATTTTTTTCTCTTTCTGTGGCTTTTCTCTTTTTTATAAATACTATGTCCCCTTTTCTTTTTACCTTTTCAATTCCCAGCTGAAAATGGCTTTCTTTTAAATCTAATTATAAAAATAATGAATGTTTGTTGTCAGTAATTTAAAATATTTCAGAAAATGTTTAAAGAAAGTGATTCACACCATTCAGAGATCTTGTTTGTTTGCTTAAGTCAGTTATTTCCACAATAAAAACCCTCTGCTCACCTGTGGGAACTCCCACATGTGAGTTCTACCAAATCTTTTAGAAAGCAATATCGATTTCAGCTATACCATGGCATTCAGGGGAAGGGAAAGCTTCCTATAAAAGGGGGAATGAGAAAAGGTGGGGCAACAGGCTAATACATCAAATACTGACAAAGACACTACACACCTATCTGAATGACTAATATAAAAAATAATGATAGCACCAAATGCTGATGTGTATGTAGAAAAACTCATACATTGTGTGCAAGAGCAGTTGTGAAATAGTACAGCCATTCTGGAAAAGAGTGTGGAAGTTTAACTTAACAAAACTAAACATGTGCTTACTATGTGACTTATCACCTATACTCTCGAGCACTCATCCCAGAGAAATGAAAACTTACGCTCATACAAAAGCCTATACACGAATATTTATGGGTACTTTGTTTTTAATTGTCCCAAACTGGAAACAACCCAAATGTTCTTCAGTGGATGAATGACTATTTTAAAAAGTTTTATATTACAAAATTTCACGTATATCATATTGAAATGAAATTACAGAGAGAGAACAGATTAGTGATTGTCAGGGTTGGTGGGAGGGAGGTGACTATTGCTATAAATGGGTTTTAGAAGAGATCATTATGAAGGAACTGTTCTGTATGTTGGCTGGTGGTAATCACACTGATATACACCTATGATAAAATTTCACAGAGCTAAGTACACATTGTGTATAAAATGAGTGAAATCTGGATGTTGGTAGATGGTATCAATTGTATCAATTTTCTGTCTGTGATACTGTACTACAGTTATACAAAGTGTTAACCATTGGAGGGAAACTGGGTAAAGGGTATATGGGGTCTCTCCCTCTTACTTCATACAACTCCATGTGAATTTATAATTATCCCAAAGGTGAAAGTTAAGTATTTTTTTTAATGCTGACAGCTTTCATGAAACTGTAGAACAATTATATTTAGGAATAATAATGTTAAATTTTAGTGTAAAATTTTAACATATAGTGTCTGCGAGCACTTTGAATAATGGACTATTCTCAAGAGAGGGTTGTATTGGAAGTGTAAAGATGGTTCAAAATGAGGAAATCTGTTAATTCAATTCTACCATATTAAAAAAAGGAACGTATGGACCTTTCCATAAATACTGAAAGGGGTATTAACTTCAACATCCATTTCTAGCATTTAAAAAAGAATTCTTAGCGTGGGCAACATAGTGAGACCTAGTCTGTATCAGAAATTAAGAAATTATCTGGGCATGTTGGCATGTGTCAGTTACTTGCAAGGCTGATCTTGAGGATTGCTTGAGCCCAGGAGGTCAAGGCTTCAGTGAGCTGTGATCGTGCTACTGTACCCCAGCCTATGCAGCAGGGTGAGACCCTGTCTCCAAAAAAAAAAAAAGTTTCTTAAATATGGTATGTGTGTATATATACTTTTTTATGCACACACATATACAAGTACACATATGTTAAAAGCCAGCATATGCATAATAATATGCTTAATAATGCATGAGATGCATTCCCATTAAACTGAGACTATGTATCAGCACTTCTTTGAGTTAAAATAAATATTTTTTAAAACTAATAACCATTAACCAGTACAATGTAATTCAGGAGGCATGGAAATTGGAAAGTAGGATACACCATTATTTGCAAATATGATAGTATGATGGAGAACCTAAGAGAATCAATTATACAGTGCTATTTAATTATAATTACCCATCTTAATTCTCTAATATGTAATGTTTAATTGCTTTATTTATAAAGAAGAGCTCCTTATGTAATCTAATATTAAATAGTCCATTTACAGTAAAAAAAGTAGAAGTTATAAAAAGAAAACTAAAATATTAAAAGGCATAAAATGAGTCTTAAATGAAAAAACAACCTTCTTGGATAGAAGGCTTCACTGTTACAAAATGCCTTTTTTTTCTTTCTTTCTTTTCTTTTTTTTTTTTTCTGTTGCCCAGGCTGGAGTTCAGTTGTGGAATCTCAGTTCACTGCAGTCTCCACCTCCCAGGTTCAAGTGCTGCTTCTACCTCATCCTCCTGAGTAGCTGGTATTACAGGCCAGAACCACCTCGTCCAGCTAAACCTTTTTTTCTTTATACACTAAGTATAAAGAATAATAGCGATAAAACATTTTAAATTACATAAGCTGATTCTAAGTTTAAGAAATTAACATAGAAGAATAGGCAGGACAGTTCTTTAAAGAAAACAATGAAAACAGACTAACCACAATAAATATTAAAATATATTACAAAGTTCAAAGATTTAGAATCGTTTCACATAGTTATGTAGACAAAAAGTAGGACAGAAGAGAATCCAGAGATATTTCCCAAAACATACAGACCATCAGTAAATTTGTATGATATTTCATATTAGTTGGGAAACAATCAGTTATTCATTAGCTACTTTTTTTTTTTTACTTTTGATTAAAGTGAAAGCACTCTGCTTGGTGCAGTGGCTCCTGCCTGTAATCCCAGCACTTTGGGAGGCCAAGGTGGCTGGATCACTTGAGGCCAGGAGTTTGAGACCAGCCTGGCCAACGTGGTAAAATCCCGTCTCTACTAAAAATACAAAAATTAGCTGGGTGTGGTGGTGCTCTTCTGTAGACCCAGGTACCCAGGAGGCTGAGGCAGGAGAATCTCTTGAACCTGGGAGGCGGAGGTTGTAATGAGCTGAGATCGTGCCACTCAGCCTGGGCAACAGAGCGAGACTCTATCTCAAAAAAAAAAAAAAAAGTAAAAGCACTTATATCAAACTGCAGTTGGATCAAAGATTTACTATGATACATAAGATGATAACAGTGTGGAGAATATTTTTGTAAAATTTAGGTTGAGAAGTTCTTCTCAGGAAGACATTTGACTACATAAAATGTATTAGTGCATCAGTATTTTGAGTGACTGTTAAAAAAATTGTTAACCTATGTGTTAATTTTCTTAATATATAAGGAACTCTAATAAAAAATAAGAAAAAAGCCTCAACTCAAAAGATAAATTGGAAAATAGTATGATTAGGCAGATTATAGAGAAAGAAGTAGAGATGACTTTTAAACATAAGAAGATGGATACATCTACACTTACAATTAAAGAAAAAAAATTCTACCAGTTTCCATTTAACATTGGGAAGGTTGATCATTTCAGTTAACCATGTTAGGCTTTTGAAGGAGATTGGTCAGGGTGGGGGGAAAAGTTATAAGGAGACACAAACCTTGGAAGTCCTGGGAGGTTTTGCAAAGCTTCGGGAGAGAATAAAGGCTGAAGGCAGCTGAATTCTCTTACCCTGAGGCTACGGGCAAATAGTAAGGAATTTAGGTAAGTTTATTTACTTTTGCCGACCTTCGATCATCCGACCTTTGATCCTCCGACCTTTGATCATCTGACCTTTCATCATCTGCATGCAGGACTGCTCCCTACAGCGGGGGCAGCAGTTACCCACAGATTGTGTTGGCTCCAGGCCTTCATCATTAAATCTGTACTGAATAAATACAAGCAGCTCCAGCTTATTAGGGCTGCATTCTCTCTTCGGAGTCTCTAAGGCCGAGCAGTTTGCTAGCCGCGCTCACGCAAAATACCTGTGTCTGCGTACTTTTTTCATCCGTCGCTCGGCCAGAGTCAGCGGATCAGACTCAGCAGCTGGTGCCCCTCGTGAGGAACGTTGCAAGGGATCACAGCGGAACCCCCGAAAATGAAGGCGAAGAGATTGTGCAGTCAGTAAGTCATTGGTGCCCGCTCGGGATATCCAAGTTCAGGGGAATTCTCAAGCTGGAGTTTCATCATGAGACAACAGCTATCCGCACAACAGAAACAGTATATAAAAGTATTGAAACAACTGCTTAAAGATAGTGGAGCCTCGATTTCACAGGCTCAGTTAAGGGACCTAATGCAAACTGTTGTTTCCCATAATCTATGATTCCCAGCAGAAGGAACACTGGACCTAGAACTCTGGGAACAAGTGGGGAAAAACCTTAAACAGTATCATACACAAGGGCAACGGATCCCAGTAACGTCTTTAACCGTATGGACCTTAGTTAGGGCTGCTTTGGCCCCGCTGTACGCAGAAGAGCCCAAGAAGGGAAGGGAGGAGGAACCATCACCTACCTTAGTGCCACCGCCTCCTCCCTCATCACTGCCATTACTGGGTAAAGATACTAAAGAGGAAATGGAGGTTTTCCCTGAGCCCCCTCCCCCAATAAATTGGAAAAAAGACAAGGGATACACTACAGCTATGGGACCCTGTCTTAGGCAGGTGGCATTAGAAGGGGAACTCTTAACCTGTCCGGAAATGCAAGATCACCAAGGCGATCAGGTATGTGAACCCATTTCTTTTGACACTTATAAAGATAAGAGAAAGCATTCGCGTAAACACAGCTGTTAGTCCATTTACGAAAGGATTAACTGAAGCCGTAGCAGACAACTTCTGTTTGGCCCCATGGGACTGGTCAGTGCTAGCTAAAACAACTTTAGAGCCCAGTCAGTACCTCCTCTGGAAGGCAGAGTATGATGAGTTGTGTGAACAACAAGCCAACCAGAGTCAATTGGCCAGGCAAGACATAACAGCTGCTGTGCTTCAGGGGAGGGGTTCCTATGGCAGTGTACAACAACAATTAAGTTTTGTTCCCTAAGCCTATGCACAAGTGTCTGTGTGTGCTCTCAGGGCTTGGAACCGAATTTCTGAAAGCGGAGTTCAACAGGGATCTTTTATAAATGTTCGACAAGGGCCTTAGGAGCCATTTGTTGAATTTATCAATTGGTTAACCCAGGCAATTAAGAGACAAATTAGTCAGCCCAGGGTGCTGATATCTTATTGTTGCAGTTGGTTTATGAAAATGTTAACGTCCACTGCCAGCAAGCAATGCAGACAGTCAGAGGAAAGGCAGTTACGGTCAGGGAACTTACATGAGCATGTCAACTGATGGGGACTGAAACACACAAAGCCAAAATATTGGCTATGGCAATAAAGCCTCCTAAAGTGAAAAGGGAGAAAAACCCAAATTGTTTTCTATGTGGAGAGCCAGGTCATATGAAGAGGTAACTCAGGAAAAGAACCCCCTTCTGTATGCCCCCCATGTAGAAAGGAGAAACATTGGGCAAATCAGTGCAAGTCCAAATTTGAAAAGATGGCAACCCCATAAGTAATCAGGAAACTTCATGAGGGGCCAGCCCAGGCCCTGCTCCAAACTTGGGCAGTGCCAGCAGCTTTCCTTGGTCAGTTGGAAAGCCCACAGTCCACTCTTTCAGAACAGCCACCTCTGGGAGCACAGGATTGAACTTTTACTCTGCCCCAACGAATTAGTGCTAAAAGAAGGAGAAGACCCTAAAAGGGTTGCAGCAGGGATCTGGGGCCCACTGCCTCCAGAGCGGTGGGATTGGTCCTAGGATGATCAAGCCTATCCAGTAAAGGAATCAGTGTGCTCACGAGAGTAATTGATAGTGATTTTCAAGGTGAGATATTAGTTATGATGGAATGTAAAGGTCAGTCTGCATATTCTTCCTCCTAAATCTAAAATAGCTCAGTTACTACTCTTACCATACTGGGTCCCCAGTGCCCAGGGAAAGGGTAAGGGAAGTTTGGAAGCACGGGAGCCATAGGAGTATATTGGAAAAAATCACTGATCAGAGACCCATGATTACCTTAAAAATTGGAAATAAGAATTTTACTGGCCTACTGGATACAGGGGCAAATATTTCGATTATTAGTGATCAAAACTGGCCAGAAACTTGGCCTTGGGTCACTCAGAAACAAAAATTGTCGGCATCGGGGAAGTGCACACAGCCAAGCAGAGCAGGTGCCCCCTAACATTGCGATTTGGAGGGAAAAAACAGTTACAAAACTCTAATCATGACCGTCCCTGTTAACCTTGGGGATGGGACCTCTTAGCCCAATGGGAGCTGCAAACCCCTTTCTAATAATGACCACTGTTGTTATTCCTCCCCTACCCCTGACGTGGCTCTCTCAAGATCCAATTTGGGTAAAACAGTGGCCTTTAAAGGGAGAGTAATTACAGTGAGCCCACAAATTAGTTGAGCAATTAAAAGCCAGCCATATAGAACCATCAAACAGCCCTTAGAATTTGCCCATTTTCATCATTCCCAAAAGGTCTGGCAAATGGAGACTTGCATGACTTACGGGCTGTCAGTGCTAATTTGCAACCTATGGGGCCTCTTCAACAGAGGCTCCCTTCCCCTGTGGCAATTCTTCAAGATTGGCCTATAGTCGATACTGACTTAGAAGACTGCTTTTATACATTCCTGTTAAAGAACAGGGCAGAGAATAATTTACATTTACCATACTAGCTATCAGTAACGAAAGGGCAGCTCACCAATTTCATTGGAAAATACTCCTCAAGGAATGCTGAGCAGTCCTACCATGTGTCAGCATCATGTAAATCAGGCTTTGCTCCCCAGTAGAAAAAAATTTCTTAATAATTAAGATTATTCATTTTGTGGATGGTATTTTACTAGCAGACCCAACAGCCAGTACTTTTAAATTTATATGCCTCTGTTGTAAACTTAAGTTCATATACCTCTGTTGTTAAGAGGTTAATCGTAGCACCTGAAAAAGTACGGATGTCCTCACCTTGGAAATATCTTGGATACATACTAACTTCCTGGTCAGTAAGACCTCAGAAGGTTAAATTAAATACTAGCAATTTACATACCTTAAATGATTATCAGAAATTACTGGGTGATATTAACTGGCATCCTCCTACCTTGGGCATAACTACTGATAAATTACAGAACCTGTTTTCTGTCCTAAAAGGCAGTGCTGTCCTAGACTCACTCGGCATTTAACCCCTGCAGCAAAAAGGGAAATTGAGGAAATAGACCAAGTTATTTCTCAGAGGCATCTAGATCGCATAGATCCATCATATTCAGTTCAGTTGTTTGTTTTTCTTGCTAAACACTCCTCTACAGGATTAATAGGACAGATGGCCGCAGGGCTGCGCTTCCTAGAATGTGTTTTTTGCTCACATATTGGGACTAAAACACTATCTCACTATATCCAACTAGTTAGTAAAGTCATCTATATGGGCCGCAGACGATGCAGTCTGTTGCTAGGTTATGACCCTGATGTCATAAGAATTTTCTTGAGTAAAAATTCGAAGCAGTCTTGCCCCATCACTAGATCTTCAGATAGCACTCTCTGATTATGCAGGCCATATAAAACATGCCCTTCCTGCTGACAAACTATTTCAGTTCTTTTCTTATACTCCTGTAGTTTTGCCAACAAAAGTAGTTCACTCCCTCATACCTGGTGCTTTAATGCTTTTTACTGATGGTTCTGGTGAAAATGGAAAAGCGGCTATTTGATGGAAACCACATAATTCCTTCACTAGATCTGGATTTACTAGCGCTCAGGGAGCTGAGGTTGGAGCCCTAATACTGGCCCTAGAAACTATTCCTCTCAGCCCATTAACATTGTTAGTGACTCTGTTTATTTGTTGCAAAACCTTGAGACGGCGCTCCTAAAGTCTGCTCTCGAGCCCACCCTGAGTGCACCTTTTCTTGGACTTCAGCAATTGCTGCATCAACATACACAGTCAATTTTATCACACATATTCCAGCCCACAGCTCACTGCCTTTCCCACTGGCTTATGGTAGTGATCAAGCAGACCTGCAGGTTATAACGTCACTGCTTGACCAAGCCACCCAGTCGCATCGATTTTTCCACCAAAATTAGAGAAACTTAATTGCAGCTTACCCCAAGACTAGCTAAACAAATTGTGCTGCAGTACCCAGATAGCCAGCTCATAGGCACGTCCCCTCCTTCAACAGGTATTAATCGTAGAGGACTAGAACCTAATCAGTTACAGCAACAGATGTTACACACATCCCTAAATTTGGAAAACTAAGATATGTACATGTATCCGTTGATACCAATTCCTACCTAATTAGCACACGCTCTTCCTGGAGAGTCCACCTGATATATCATTAAACACCTTTTAACTTTTGTGTTTATGGGGTGGCCCACAAAAATTAAAACTGATAATAATCTGGCTTATGCCAGCTCACATTTTCAACAATTTTGTTACACGTGGAGCATCCAACATTCTACAGGCATCCCGTATAACCCCCAAGGACAGGCCATAATAGAACATGCCCTCTCCACCCTTAAAAATATGCTCAGAAAACAAAAGGGGAAAATGAGTAAGGACCTTGCAACACTAGTAGCACAAGCGTTATTTATGCTTAATTTCTTCAATTTAAATGATAAATTTCAATCAGCTATAGAAAAGCACTTTGCTAAATCTTCTCAAGACATAAAACCCACAGTATTATGGAAAGATGTAAATAGTAATGTATAGTATGTCCAAATGAATTGCTAACATGGGGAAGATGATATGCTTGTGTTCACACCCCCCTCAGGCCCTCTTTGGATTCCAGCATGATGCATCAGACCATACCATGGCGTGGCTAGGACCCAACACGGTACCAGAAGTGAAGGAAATGACCCCACAGGACCCGCAGCTCCAGACAACACAGCTTCCTCAGGCAACACAAGCCCCGGACATTACCTGGGGGATGCTGAAGAAGACAACTTACAAGGCTGAGCAAATCCTGCTCCAGACACAGAAACCATTCACTCCAGATAATTTGTTCCTTGCTTTGCTCTCTGGTGTAAGTTGCAACTCACATAGGATCCTTTTTAGGCTCTCGCTTTCCCTGCAACCCGTACCTGCTACACTCTGTTGGGCTCATCTCTTAGATCCGCCTTTCTTATGCCCTGTTACCTGGGCAGACACCCCCTTCCAGCCTCTAATAATGTAACTACTTGGCTAGGAGGGATTGACTTACCCCTAGTAGGGTCCCTTATTAATGGTACACATTGGACTAAGGTGCCAGGTAACACTACATATCACTCCACTGTCCTCCCACTGTGTGTAAGTTTTAAAAGTTCTAACCCTTACTGTGTACCTGCCCAAACAAAATTATGGGTACGTCATGGGCAAAGGAAATGCCTTAACATTCTTGGTTGCCAGTAGCCTCAAACCGGGCAATGCAATCAGTGCCACTTTCCCCAGCATTCCTCCCTGTGCTAAAGAACAAAGCCAGGCAAGTAATGGATTCCACTTCGGCTGGGAGGTCTGTCATGGGGGACAAGCCCTTAGTCTCCAGTTAGGCAGTTTAATATCTTAGACTGGAGCCCCTGACGGTTGTTTACAGGGCGAACATACTGATGTTTGCGTCCATTGTGATATCAATCATAGTTTCGTGGCCATGTCCATTCCTTTATGGGATTTGGGCCGAAGAGGGGATGGGATATCCCAGACCCCAGGTAGAGTCCATGCCACGCCAAGACACTTTATGGCATCTGGGACATCTTAGCACCACCCTTACCACCTGGTATGGGACATACCATAATTCCAGTAACAATTATGCTATAACCTTTATACATAATCACACAGATCAGTGCCTGATTTGCACTACTCATCCATATGTTTTTCTTATGGGAACCAGTATTTCCATTACACCCCAAAACTCCATGTTTGTGACCTGAGTGCAAGGACAGGTTTGCTTCACCTCATGTGTCACTAATTACAGTATATCTAATTTAAATATTACTAGTGTTATGGTATTAAGGAGGCAATCTGAGACATTCCTACCAGTCAGTTTGATACACTATTGGCAAGTTTCCTCTGCTTTTGCCACCTTAGAACATGCCATATCCCAGGTCAGACACAAAAGATTCATAGTTGCTCTTACAGCCTTTATAGTCTCAGCCGTAGTCATCCTAGCAACTGCTAGTGTTGCTGTAGCATCTATTACTGAGTCAGTACAAACAGCTACTTTTGTAGATAACTTGACCAGAAATATGTCTAATGAACTTATTCTACAACGGGATATAAATCATAAGGTTCCTCCACATCTGCAAGCCCTCAAGACTGCCTTGGAACGTGTAGGGGAGTGACAAGATGGCGCTGGCATTCTGACAGCAATTAAACCGACTGGGAGCATAAGCATATCTCTGTCACCTCTCTACCATGGAGCCAGTCAATACATAGTTGGGATGAGGTGAAACACCTCTGGGTGACCTTACATGATAATTTAACAGCAGTCGTAAAGCAACTTAAATCTAGAATTGCTAAGTGCCATAGATCTACATGCCCAACAGACAGCCATATGGAAGGATGTGCAAGAACATCTCTCCTGGATAGACTCCCACTCCTTGATTAGAAAAAGATATTACTAATTATACTCATGTTTGTCTTACGTTATTTACCAATTCTAGGATGCAAAGCCGGAATACGAGCAGTAATCGCTACGCCTGACAAACCTGTTGCTGCACACATCTGTACTCTTCAATCAACAATACTCTTCAATCAACAAAACCTGATGCAAAAAACAGAAAAGGGGGAGATGCAGGAGATCAGTCAGGGTGATGGGAAAAGTTATAAGGAGAGACGCAAACCTTCTTGGAAGTCCGGGAGGTTTTGCAAAGCTTCAGGAGAGAATACAGGCTGAAGGCAGCTAAATTCTCTTACCCTGATGCTAAGGGCAAGAAGTAGGTAACAAAGGAGTGTAAAGGAATTTATCTAGACGAGTTTATTTACTTTTGCAGACCTTTAATCATCCTATCCGTGCGCGCAGGACTGCTCCCAAGGAGGGGGGAAAGGGGCGACAAGTACCTACAGATTGTGTTGGCTCCAGGCCTTTGTCATTAAATCTGTACTGAATAAATACAAGCGGCTCCAGCTTATCAGGGCTGCATTCTGTCTTGGGTGTCTCTAAGGCCAAGCAGTCCCCTAGCCGCACTCATGCAAAATACCTGTGTCTGTGTACTTTTTTCATCCGTCGCTCAGCCTGAGTCTGCGGGTCAGACTTGGCAGGATTTTGACTTGATATATTGTGTGTGTTTGGAAATGGGGAATAATTCCTATGCTTATGTACTATTGATGGGAATATTTATTGGTTCAGCCTTTCTGGAGGTCAGTCTAATGTTAATCGTTAAAATTTAAATCTGTATGCCTTTTGACACATCAAGTTCATATCTAAGAATTTGCCCCCATAGTAATTCCATGGACATACAAAGATGAGTATAGGGATGTTTCTTGCAGGGTTCTTTCTAAATTATTGCTAGGTTGACTTAACTAAATCCAAATGATGTTATTTGTAATGTAGTACTTAAATGTTTTTCTTGTTATTTTAGCCAAAACTGGACAAGCCAAGGCATCTGTAGCCAAAGTAAACAAATCTGCAGGTATGTTTTTTAGATTAGGATTCTAGACTATTAAAACTTCAAAGTATTTTAAAATCGTATGGTAGTAGTCTTGGATTTCACTTGACGTAGTCTGTATTGAATGCATGCTAATCTTTGAGATTTATAATCATCTAGCAGTTTTGAGAAATGATATGTACTAGATAATGCTCCTATAGTAATTATTGAAATAATTTAACTGCAGAAATTTCTCATGGTGAATATCACGTATTTTCCTCTTTCTCTTTTATTGAGGTCTCTCTTCTTCTTTTCTTTTATACAATAGTTTAATAAATATGATCCCTTATGGTTTTTGTGAGCTATGGTGGGATTTTAGGTAATAATTAAGTTTTTTTCTCTTTTCCCTGGCATAATCCTTTCCAGTTTGTCTCCCATTTCTGCTAAACCCACATTAATTCAGGGTCATTTCTTTTAAGTGAATAGAGATCAGTGTATTAAATTATCTTTCAAGTTGGGCATGGTGGCTCACGCCTATAATCCCATCACTTTGGGAGGCCAAAGGGGATGGATCACCTGAAGTCAGGAGTTAAGAGTCCAGCCTGGCCAACAAGGTGAAATTCTGTCTCTACTGAAAATACAAAAAAATTAGCCAGGTGCCAGTGGTGCACACCTGTAATCTCAGCTACTAGGAAGGCTGGGGCAGGAGAATCGCTTGAACCTGGGAAGTGGAAGTTGCCGTGAGCCGAGATCTCACCACTGCACTCCAGCCTAGGGAGACTCTGTCTCAAATAAATAGACAAATAATCTTTCATATAATATTAAAAAGGAAAGGAAACAGCCTGGAACTGGCAAAAATCATTATTAGTGGCAGATCCAGAATTTTCATATAGTAGTTTCTTAGAAGCAGTAATTTGAGTGGGTCGTGGGTGGCTAGGAAACTTGTCTTGAAGCTAGTGGGTCATGGGTGGCTGGGAAACTTGTCTTGAAGCTGCATTTATTTTGCTAACACTTTGCTGTTACTTTGATACCAAGTGTATGGAGTCACTGGGGATGTGGTAGACTGGGATTAAGCTGATGGCCACTCCTTTACTTGCTGGAAATTAATGCCGGCTATTTTTTACTTTTTCCTTAAGTCCCAGTACCCAGATAGAAGTTATAAAGTGAATTGACTTGTGATAATAACATAGGGATAGTGAAAGAAATATCTTAAGGGCTCACTGAGGCTCAGTTTACTGTAGTGTGGCAAACGTCGTGAATGACTAAGAATTGACAAGCTAGGTGACAAGCTATAAGGATTTGTATTGTTCTTTTTGAGCAAAGATTATGGACTGTCTTGAATATAAAGGGTGGATTTGTAAATTGGTTCAGTTGATTTTTGTAGATGTCAGTGAATGTTTTTTGTATGATTTTTAAAAGTATGATTGTATTCTCATAAGGTTCCTGTTACGTAATTCTGGCAATCATCACCCTTATATATAGGGAAATATGTACACAAATCTGTTAGTGCCCCAAAGCTTCTCAATATAAATTGGAGTTTAGTTTAGATCTGTTGATTTTTGATCTTGGGCTTTTTCCTCATCCATTCTTGCTAGTTGTTATGAATCCTAATTTCGAAGTTAAATCTTGTGTTGCTCTCTGAATGGAAAGTGTTTGGGCTCTGACAGTCTTCTGCAACACTTTGATGATCACATCTTTATAAACAGCACCATCTTGGAAAATAGGCCATAGTAATAGATAATGTAGGTACAAATAATGGTCAGAGCAATTTAAATAGTCCTGTACAGCTAGGAAACTGTAGGAATGAGTCAAAACAATCTTTATATGACCTGACCATGATATAAGTGTTCTTGAATGCTTTTTAATCAATTAGGAGCCATGGAAGCATGGGTTGGGAGGGTCTAGGTTTAACTGCTTTTGGAACTGCTGAAAGTATGGGATTGTTTTTATGTCCTTGGAATTAGTAATTTTGCTTCTAGTTGATCCACACGTTCAGAAATTTATTTAACTTGCATGAATGCTGTTTTAAGTACAGGTTGAGTATCCCTTATCCAAAATGGTTGGGAGCAGAAGTGTTTTAGATTTTGGATTTTTTTCAGATTTTGGAATGTTTGCATATATATAATGAAATACCTGGGGGATGGGAGCCAAGTCTAAACGTGAAATTCATTTATGTTTCATATACACCTTAGCCTGAAGGCAATTTTATACAGTGTTTTAAATAATACTGTGCATGAAACAAAGTTTTTTTTAAGTACTTATGTGGGAATTTCCCTCTTGTGTCATGTCAGCAGCACTCACGGTTTCAGGTTTTGGAACATTTCAGATTTTGGATTTTCAGATTAGGGATGTTTGACCTATACCCCAGTAGGGAGGTAGATTCTTGTTTCAGTGATTTCTTTTTTCTGAAGAAATTATCATCATTGCTAGATTTAGAAAACGGCCTATGTCCCAAAGATGATTTTATGTTTTGAATAAAATATAGTCCATTGTTCTTATATTTTTTTCTCTGTGAAGTTCTTTGGGGATTGTTGATACAGTTAAGTAAACCAGTTTTGACTGCAGCTTTTGTGATTTAGGGAAATCAGCAAGTTCTGTAAAATCTGTGGTAACGGTAGCTGCTAAAGGTAATAAAGCTTCAATCAAAACAGGTAAGACTATTGGGGAGGAGAGATTTTATTGTTTATTCTTTATTCACGTTTTAAATTCGTATAATAGTTGTTAGCATCTAATACTTGAATAGTTTAGTAGATATTTCCTTGATATTTAAAACCTGACCCATTTTGTTGGAATTTTGTCTTTGGCAAATAGGCAGATACATTTTTGTGCATGTAAACAATCACATATATATGCAACTATATAACTGTACATTTTTGACAGCTTTGTAATCACAGGTTGCTCTGTCGTTTCCCTCCATAAATGGTTTAAATCTTTGTTTCCCTCTTTTTTTTAGAGTTGTCAATTCATATTGCCATCTCCAGTTTGTACAATTTCTTAGATGCTTGTTACTTTTAAAAAGATTATGTTAGGAGAATTCATTTTTTTCCATAAAGAAATGGAATACTATTTAAAATAAATGTAGCACCTTGGAACTAGAGCAATCTTTTTAGTAGTATCTTTCCTAATAGACTAATTCTAAAGAATCTTCGCAGAAATTACACAGTATTATTTTTGTGTGTATGTGATTATGATGTTGGTCTGCTATGTGAAAGTTAAAGATGTGGCTTTTTTGAGGGCATCACCAAAAAGTTGTATCTTGACTTAATCTTATTGGGAAAGAGGTACTGAAAATAAATAGAAATAATGAATATTTAGAAAAGACCTGCTTTTGTAATAAAGTCAAACTAATTTACTAATACATTAGTGTGAAACATGCTAAATGATTTAACAGACCTTTAGAATAATGGCTCACTGTACTTTTACAAGCAAAATCTGGTGGGAAGAAGTCTCTAGAAGCCAAAAAGACTGGGAATGTCAAAAACAAAGACTCTAACAAACCTGTGACCGTACCAGGTAAGCTTGAAATGTAGTCTTTCAGTGCTTTGTTTTGTTTTCTTTTTTTTCACTTTTTAAGTTCAGGGGTACATGTGCAGGTTTCTTACATAGGTAAACGTGTCATGGGGGTTTGTTGTACAGATTATTTTGTCACCCAGGTATTAAGCCCAGCACCATTAGTTATTTTTCCTGATCCTCTCCCTCCTCCCACCCTCCACCTTCCAATAGGCCCCAGTGTGTGTTGTTTCCCTCTATGGGTCCATTTATTTTCTTTAGATCATCTTTAAGGTATATTTTGAAATTTTGCCTAAAAATTATCAAAGTGGGGATTGCTGTCTTTTGTTTTTCAAAGAGAGATGTTTGACTTAGGTCAGCCTAAGGAGACTTGAAATGTCAAAATAAACTAGCTTAAGTTGCTGTTTAGATTCATTAGTTTAATTATATTAGTGTTTTACTAGACTATTAAAGCAGACTATTTGATGCAGGAAACTCTGAAATAAAGACCAGTATTGAAGTCAAAGCCACTGAAGACTGTGCTAAAGAAGCTATTTGTGGTAGGTCAATAGAAATTTAGTTTGTTCTTTTATGTTTAAAGGTAGAAGGAAAGTTAACATTTTTAGAAAAGAAATTCTTAATTTAGTATCTCCCCAACGCATTTACTTATTTTAATTACCAATGCCATACCTAAGTGAAATTAAGATTATTATGATTCATGTCTGTATCTCTTCATCTGAAATTTTGATCTGAAAAAGAATGAAATTTAAATGTATTTTTTAAAAGTCAGTGTCACTTTTGTAGTTATTTTGTTACATAGTTATTCTCTAGACTTTTGTATTATACGTTTTCATGTAGCTACTGTTTAATCTATTGTGGAATAAAGTGGGATCTTGATAAATATGTCTGCATCATTTTAAATTTTATTTTGTATTAAGATGCTGCTTTGGAGACCACAGAAAATGAACCAGTTAGCAAGGTCAGTTTCCATATTTTATTTATTTCTTTAAAGCTCAAGACATTTTAATAAAAGATGTTTTTCTTATAAAGCCAGGTAAAAAATTCACGGTATTTGGCATGTGAGAATTCCAGTCATTTATGACTTTTAACACATGATTTTT